AAACATTTCTTACAAATCCTTCAAAACTTAGAATTTACCCATGCAAAATTCCTACTGTGATCACAGAAACTTTGATAGTGGAAATATTTTCAAAATTCCGAGGTTGGAAAAAAAATATGAAAATTTTTTCAAAATTCCGAGGTAGGAAAAAAAATGAAATTTTTTTCAAAATCCCGAGGTTGGAAAAAAAAATGAAAATTTTTTCCAAATTTCGGCAAATTTTTTCAAAATTTCGGCTTTATAATAATTACCAGTCTATTTAAAAAAGTTATTTTCGGACCTATTGTCCGGTCTTTTTTAGGCCTGATTTACTTACCCCTAATCAGTAAATTTCAAGTGGAATTTGTATACATTTGAGATGGCCAAAAATCATTATACTTACCCGGCAGCTAATCTGTAATCCTCACTGCATATACAAAACACTTTAGGTTCAAGTGTTCAACCCATTCCATTTTACTTGAAAATAGGTTTTTGACTTATAAATTAAACTTACAAGTTTTTGGACTGTTTTCCACATCCAGCCCATCGTAGCGCACCTTCGAATTTTCTTTTGTGTCGGAGTGCATTAATTCCATTCCGAATGGTTAGAATACAAAGAAAAACGCTACGGGGAATGGGTTCTTTTTCCTATATGCACACGGCAAGAAATTGACATGCTTTTTAAGAACAAGTCTTCTTGTTTAAAAGATATTCATACCGCGGTGTATACGGGTAAGATGCAAAACGTCTCTTCTGTAGGGGGCAATAGAAAAAAACGACTTTCGAAAGGAATGTTTAATAAGTAGTAAATAAAACTAATAAGTAGTAAATAAAACTTGGCAATATAAACCCTCGTGGGTGGGTCTTATCTCTTATGAAGTAATTTAGTTTTGTAAAGATTTATATTGCTAATTTAATTACTCATCAGACATCAAGTACACATTAAATGATTAAAAAACGCATGTATCCGTGTGCTTGTTCCATAAGTATTATTTAAACGGATTAACTTTTTTCCGTGCGTGCATATGTGGGTTAAAATTACGTGGTAATACTGCGTGTATAGGCTGTTTTTGAGTGTTGAATTCAAACGTAGTAATTTTGCATAAGTAAATTCTAAGTTTCGAAGAATTTGTAAGAAATATCTGCATGGGAGCTGTCTAACGCCCATATTCTAAAAGCTCACTCACACTCAATGAGTGGAGGTTCAATCTGAGCTTTTCTTGAGTGTCAATGCTGTTTTTGAATAGCTGGAGGGTGAGTAGTCACATAGTAATGTACGACACTTGTTCTTCTTATGTTTATGCTTATGCACATCAAAGGTTCCGCTTGCTTATGCTTATGCTTATGCTTATTTCATCGTGTGAACCAGGCTTTAGTGTTAAACAGTGAATCAGTTCTCTACTGAAACATTTCTTAAAAATCCGGCCTTCAAAACTTGGCTATGCAAAATTCCTACTTTGAGTACTTTGATACTAGTGTCAGTTTGTCTCATGGTTTATACAAAAAATGGTCGCTGGTTCATCGTCACGTCACACGTGTCAATAGACCTTTCCCCTTTTGAGTGAAATTTTTATCTAGATAAGTCTGGACAAAAATTTCATCACAGCTAGCTTGAAAGAGCATCACAAAATTAGTTATATTCCGAACTTTCGTTGCGAAATGTTGTAAAATGCGGATAATATAGCCTTGCGAAGTTTGCAATTTTCAGTCATTTTGTATCACAAATGGGAAATTGATAATCAGTTTGATCATCTGATTATCAATTTCCCCTTTGTAATGCAAAATGACTGAAAAACGGTAAACTTCGCAAGGCTATATTATTAGGGGGTATGGGGGGTCACCCCCCCCCCCCCCCCCCATCCCGATTGGCAGGGCAATCAAAGATTTTAAATGATAGAATGTAGAGTTTCTAAGTAACTTATTACAGCTAGCATACAATAAGCAGTTCATATGTATGTATGACTGGCATCGGCAGTTCAATAGTATACCACAGTGATTATTCACGCAGTTTTATAGTGCTGTATTGTGCTAGCGCTGCAGGGCATCATTGGTTTTGGCAGGGCAATTCTGCCAGACACTCCCCTAATTAAAAGGGGCTAGTTTCGCCCCTGGCCCCGTTTACAAGAGACCATGCAGGACGAAGTCAAACCAGAATGAAATTTGAAATTGTCAACATGTTTTCATGAGACCAGTACGAAAATCACAAACTTTTCAATTTATTCCCCTTGCCAGGCAATCTTCTTTTTTTAGATGGCTTTCATGTTAGCATGTGTTGTTCCAATGTCAAGGGTACAGCCGAGACCGTTCTGGAATGTATTTGTGTTTACATTCACCCCAGGCTGAATTCATGCCGGTCTGAAGTCAGTCGGCTCGGTCGTCCAGCAGGCGGACTTGAGTTCTTTTCGTCCCATGAGTCTCATGTAAACATCTAATATAAATAATACTATGACCGAAACGAAATGGTCCCATGTAAATGGGGCCTAAGTCTCTGAGTCTCAGTGGTGCAGAAGTCTTCAAATTTGAATTCAGGTCTTTAAGGTCTTTGAAAAGTCTTTGAATTGTGTGAAAAAGCGAAAAAAGTCTTTCGCCCGTATTCTAAAAGCTCACTCACACTCAATGAGTGGAGGTTCAATCTGAGCTTTTCTTGAGTGTCAATGCTGTTTTTGAATAGCTGGAGGGTGAGTAGTCACATAGTAAGGTACGACACTACTAACCCTCCAGCTATTCAAAAACAGCAATGACACTCGAGAGAAGCTCAGATTGAACCTCCACTCATTGAGTGCGAGTGAGCTTTTAGAATACGGGCGTTTAAATTCTTTAGTTAGTATTTGATTGTACGATTTCCTAGCTAATACAATAGATTGATTGAAGCAAGATTTTCGCAAATATCGACAAAAAGGTGCATTTTAGGATGTGATTTGAAGGAACTAATTACCCAGGTAAAAATGGTGCTTACACTCGCAATTTTTCGACAGCTGATTGCTCTCAAAGGTCTTTGGACTTCTTTGAAAATCTTTGAATACTTTTGGTCTTGGAGACTACGAACCCTGACAAACTAATTGTTTACACAGCCAATTTATAATCCAAGAAAAATTGGATTTAGTTTGAGTTAGCAGGGAGTTCGAGTATCCCGCCAACTCAAATTCGCTTAACTCCAACTCCCCGCTAATTCGAACTAAATCCAATTTCTCCTGGGCTTTGACCCAATTGTTTCAGTAATTTACTCCAGTGAACTGGATACTCGCTTACCTCGACCTCCTCGCTAACTGGAACAGTTAGCGATAAAGAGATAAGGGCCATGCAAAATTTATTGTTCCCCCGGGCCGGAGCAAATCAATTTTGAATGTTAAAAAGAGCAAGCCCCGCTTAGGTTGGCGTGATAAAAATCTCCAGCCTCGCTCGGAACTTTGCTAGAAAAAGTTGCTGCCCAGCACTACCATCAGTAAAGAAAGCTTGTGCAGCTGTTCTTACCGTAGAGTTGCTAATTACCATGTTCAGCTATAGAGGAAATTGCTGAAATGTGCGGGAGGTCTTGACACTGCGACCGCTGCGCCGCTGCGGATCTGAACTTCTCCTAAAGAGAATAAACCGCGCCCTTGGCCTCTCACTTGTAATTATTTGATCTCCTTCATCGAACGGAGATTCTGACACTGACGTAGATTCTGGCACTGAAAAAATATTTGTGCCCCGCTTCTATATGCAGTTGCAAGGCAGAAAATCTGTGTGCCCTCTTCTATCCGGCCCCGTATAAAATCAATTTTGCATGGCCCTAAAAGGCTCAACAGGTTACGTCGATCATTACTGATCTAGCTTATAGCTATTGGACCCAACTTTCCTTTCGCATGCCCGGAAATCTAAACCCGTGGAAGGGAGGGACCGCTCGCAGTCTAATAGCTATAGGTACTGTTGATAGGTACGTCATCGGTAACTGTTAAAGATGCGGTACAGTCCGTATGTAAACAAAGGCTTTGTTTACATTTCGGTGTCCAAAATATTGAATTTTATTCGACAACTATTTATATTTTCATGATTCTAGTATATAATAAATTATGAAGAGACAACAATCAAGCTTTGCAAGAACATAAAATGAAATAAAAATCTAAATAAACTGTTTGTAAATAAAAAGAGGGCTCCTTTGTGCACATGCGCAGATAGGACCGTACCGCATCTTTAAACACTGTGATAGGTACTTTTTAACTAACAACAGTAGTACAAACTTTGTAAGCTCTTTATAGTGCACTGTAATGGCTAACAATTGTGATGAATGATAAAACGACTATACCTATATACCTATATACCGACCCCGTTATTTAACTCGAACCCCCGCTATAACAAGAACAATTTTTCGCTTCCCTTGGATTGTATACAAATATTCTTATGTACATAATCTTTGCTAATCTAGACCGCCATTATTTATAGTACATGCTTAGCATTCTGGCACTCCATGTATAAAACAGCAAGGTGTAAACTTAAAAACCACAGTGTAATCCTTAAAAAAAAATCGGTTGAGATTAAATTATTTCAAAAGTGGATAAGTAGTTTTTCTCAGAATATTCTAAAAAATCGGTTGAGATTCAATTATTTCAAAAATGGATAAGTAGCTTTTGTCAGAATATTCTAAGAGGATTATGTCTTTTGTCAAGTGCAGAATATTCTATGTTTGTATTTATGATTACCGCGCACAAATCCTTTGTCTCAACTCCATTAAGTATTATTCATAAAATAAATAATTTATTGAGTTTGCCGAGGAGTTTGCGCGTATTCATATTGGACGTTACTTTAGAATGAGCTCAATCCCCGCGACCATGCACAAATTAACATAACCTCCGACAAAAGCATAACACAATGATTTCTGTTTAGTTTCCAGACTATCATCTTGATAGACTATTAAAAAATGTACTCCCCAGTTGGCGTTGCTAGGCGACGGGTCTTCGCAGAGCTTATAGAGGTGTGCTGCTAAATATTTATTTTCTGGGCACATAGACTGTAATACCATGGACCATGGTAACTCATGTTCTGATAATGTAAGTATAGACTATAGAATAACTTCATCAACTGTTACATTTTATGGCCATTGCCACCCATTTAAAATTTTCAGATACCTCGCATGTCTGGGGTTACCGCAGGCATGAAAACCCCGGAATGCAGCACACCAAGCATGCATGCACCATACAGTATGTGTGAAAATTGGGCGGAAATGTGCCAAAGCCGATTAGCGTATGTTTCCCCTACCGCGCACTTGTCGAGAGAACAGTTTAGCTAAAACCGATAGATAATTTAATAATAATTTATTCCAAACAAAGTATCAAAAGAGATATACGAAGTATGCAAACAAATTACAAGATAATAGGTAACACCTAATACTACCCTGTATTAAATAAATAGATCTATTTTTGTGATTGTAGTAGATCAAAAGTTGCTAATATGTCATAAAAAAAAAATTTTAAAAAATAAAAAATTCAAAAAAATGCGCAGTCGAAGGTATGAACTGACTGTACAAACTAAAAATTTGCGGTATGAAGGATGTACAACTACTACCTTTGAAAAATATAAGCAGAACTTCGTGATTGCATGGTATATATTGTTTAGAAGGGTCTTATAGTCGAGTGGAAATTTATAATACATTTATTAGACCTAACTGAGGAACAGCTGGGAAAAATGCAACCAGGGACGCCGGAACTGGGGGGGGGGGGCAGGAGGGGCAGCCGCCCCCGTTGCCCTTTACCAGGAGGGGCAAGGGGGGCAAAGGTGCCCTTTCAATTTAAAGGATTGCCTTGGCGAAATAGCGAATTGTCAGAAATGTTAGTGCAATTCTCTTACGAATTTGCTTCAGAAAACGCAAGAAATGCAGTCATTGAACTTCAAGACTATAGCACAATCGCCTGGCGAAGAACCCCCTCACACCCCTATCATCCAATAAATAGAAAACATGATTAGGCGAAGTTCAACTCCCGATGTTTTGCAAACATCTCTTAGTATATATCAATTGAAAAGTGCCCTTTCACGGAAATCTGCCCCCCTTGCCTTCACATCGTTCCGGCGTCCCTGAATGCAACTATATAAGTTAGTTCTAATGAATGTATTTCAAAAACTCGTTATAATTCATGAGGAAAATCATTACCGTGTCGGGTGGTTTGGTGGTTTTATATGTGATAAAAAAATCATGTTCATTTACATTTACATAAACTTTAGCTTTGATTTTCTCGGCTTAGATAACATAAGTACGACATAGTACATAAATTTCCATTTCTACTCTATAATTTCCATCTACAATCCCGTTCAACTTATTCAATCAATTGAGATGCCAACAAAATCTTGATATTGTTCTGACACTGCAGATAAAAAGATATTCGTTGTGTACGGCCCTGTGATTCCGGTGCAGCGGTCTAACAGAGCCAGTTGTGGAGCTCTAACCACAAGTTCATGTATAAATACTAAGGTGGTACCAGTTCAAGGGTGGGTAGTAGCGGCGAAGTAGTTGTAGTTCGCTACTGTAGCGAACTACAATTTTCAAGTAGCCAGTAGTTTTTGACTACTTTTTTAAAACTGTAGCTGTAGTTATAGCGAACTACTTTTTGCCTAAAAGTAGCCAAGTAGTTGACTACTTTTCAAACAGCAAATCGCTACTTTTTAAAATTGTTAGTAACTTGATAGAATAGCATGATATTGAGACACGGTTTGCTTAAAATCAATACTCAATAGTCAATTTGCACTCTTGAACACTGTAGTGCTTACAAAAATGTTGCTTCGTGTTTACTGTTGCTACTCGTAAGTCGATTTGTTCTAGGTTACATTTCAGCCTGAGTTAGTAGATGCTCCAAATACAGTAAAACTATAGCGTAGCGAAATAGCGAAATAGTTCGCTACATTTTTTAAGCAGTAGCTGTAGTCATTAGCGAACTATATTTGTTCAAAAGTAGCAGTAGTTGTAGCGGACTACATATTTTTGAAGTAGCTGTAGTTACAGCGAACTACAAAAATTTTGTAGTCAACCCACCCTTGTACCAGTTACGGTGGATGGGTAAATATCCTGCTGCTAGTTTTTCATATCTCAGAGGATGGTGCTGAAATAGACCTGTAGCATTCTGTTATCGTGTCTACCTACACTGGAACCGGCTTATACCATGTGGCGAACTGCAAGTAATCCTCCGATGAATGTTATGCCATATGTATGTATCAGTATAAGTTCTGCCAAAATTAGCGCATTTCACTCAGCAATACCTAAAGTTACATACTGTGGAAGATAATGTACAGTGACAGTACAGCAATCAATTAGCATTTCCCACGCAATGTAACCAGGGGTTCGTTTTCCCATGTTTGGGTGGCAAGAGTGAATTTAGTGAAGTAGAAACACAGAAATATTGTTTATAAGTATTACGTCCTTCATTAAATTTCGACACGGCCTGGTCGCATGTTGTGAGATATATACAGACGCAGATGCCGCCGGAAAAAAATTAAACAAAGCTTTTTGACAAAATCCTGGGATACGTCGAGTTTATGTATATACAGACACCTATCTAATACAGACATCTCTCTAATATAGACACTTCTCTAATATGCACACCAGTCTCTAATACGGACAGCTCTTTAGTAGATACACCTCTTTAATACGGACAGTTCTCTAATATTGACAGTTTCTAATGTCCCCACATACATAGAACAAACACCTCTCTAAACAGCCGCTTAATTTGCTGCGTTCCTTCTATAAGAGAGATGTCTGTATTACAGAGATGTCTGTATTAGAGAGATGTCTTTATTACAGAGAGGCCTGTATTAGAGAGATGTCTGTATTATAGAGATGTCTGTATTAGAGAGATGTTTGTATTAGAGAGTGCCTGTATTAGAGAGATGTCTGTATTAGAGAGATGTCTGTATTAGAGAGGTGTCTGTATTAGAGAGATGTTTGTATCAGAGATATGTCTGTATTAGAGAGATGTCTGTATTAGAGAGATTCCTGTATTAGGGAGGTGTCCATATTAGAGAGATGTCTGTGTTGGAGAGATGTCCGTATTAGAGAGATGCCCGTATTAGGATGTTTGTATTAGAGAGGCACGTGTCGGTATATTAGAGAGATTAAACTGTAATATTTCACGAAAACGCTATTAGCATAAAACGCTATTAGCATCAACGAAGTTGCCGCCCAAATTGATTGTGACCTCATGTTTGCGGTCTCGATGCTATTAAATGTGACCTCCAGTGGAATATTCCGGAGACGACTTTACAAATTACCTAAGTTGAGCGAGAAACGTATACTAGGCACTCGCTGACACGATACATGCATGGTGCTAATAATAATTTTATGTCAGATAACCAGAAAACGCATTTCTGTCATCGATACCAAATTTTAGTATTTTTGCACAAGTGAATATAACAAATCCTGCAAGTTGATCGGTCAAATTTGACGTATTAAGTTGTTATATTCACCTACAGGTGAATATAACAAAACCAAAATTTGCAAAATGGCGGCTAGCCGTTACTGATAAAGAAATAAGCGAAATGAAAACTGATAAATTCAACCCCAAAAAACACAAAAGACTTGTGTAAGGCTCGGTGATTATCGGGGAATATTCGGCGGCTTGTCTTCGGCGAATAATTGTTAATTATAATGAAGAAAATTAGAAGGAAGTTTTTGTGCATCAAATACTTAGTGTTTCATCAATTAAAGTACATTATACTAATTTATAATTATCGGGAACTTTAGGGGTTCCTTTCAACTCTAAGCCTTTCGCAAAAAGATATTCACGCCTTCGCTGGGAACGTCGAGGTTGTCTTTGTATTAGAGAGCTTAAGCATGTGGGATCATTCGTATGAATTTAATACAGTATAATAAGAAGTTGAAGATATTGGCTTTATGTTTGGGAAGAGTTCTACTAAACCGAATTTTAGGCAGCGTTTACACTGTACCGTTTTCGTAGCGTTCTCGTATTGTTCTTAATCCTCAAGGGAACGCAAGACAATAGTCTAGTTCTCTCGAACAATACGAGAACGCTACGAAAACGGTACAGTGTAAACGCTGCCTTAAGTTGCACTTGTTACGGCTTGAAAAGCAGGCGTTGTATAAAGACGTGAAAATCTTTGATTTGCCGTTGTAAAGCCCGCCACCGGCACGAGAGCAACTTGCTGAGCTAACCGCCTCGCGAGGCGATTAGCTCAGCAAGTTGCTCTCGTGTGCGGATAGTTTTCGTGAGGATTTAGCCTCTCGAGGCCTTGAGGAAAATATCTATCGTGTTTGATATTTTTCGCCTCGCGAGGAAAAAATCTCATCGTCTGCGGACAGTGGCGTAGCCAGCCCGACAATTTGATCCCGCTATGCAAATTCAAAATTATTGTCATTGTTCATTTCTTTAGAAATTGATTGTTTTCACAGTCAATGAACACAAAAATATTTGCATAGCGGGACTAAATCGTCGGGCTGGCTACGCTACTGTCTGCGGATGTTGTGAGCTAAGTGCCGAGCTGTTTGAATCAATTAGCCAATGACAAACCATGGTTTCTTCATGTGACTTGGAACAAAATGGAGGAATATGCAACTGTTTTGTCATTTATGTTGTTGTTGAGTAGTTTTCCCAACGTGTGCGGTGAAAATACATAGCTGAGCTAGCTGCCACGCGAGACGGTTAGCTCAGCAAGTTGCTCTCGTGTGCGGCGGGCTTAAACAGAGCGACGACTACGTCTGAAACTCCCCTGGGACTTTAATTATTCATTTCTTTTCATTGACTCATTGTATTGGTTGCCGTCGTTGTCGTGTTGCCGTCCTGCATGCTTAAGCTCCCTATTTTCTGGTAGTTGTATATCCCTATTAATCCGCATCTTTCTGTATATTCTTTATGCAGATATAATCGCGAAATTCCAAAAATATCCCAGGCAGGCAGGCCAATTACAAAAAATTATTCTGTTTTTCATCGCAGCCCGCCCCTAGAAAATTGGCCGCCCGGAATTTCTTCTTAATAATCGGTAATAATTATACGCATGTTTTTCTCACAACATCGTGCTGAAGAGTGCAGTAGGATCTCGAATTAAACCCGAAATTTTGGAAACTTTTTTTAACACATTTTGAAAACCTAGTACATTTCTTCCTATTTCGACGAATTTAATGCGCGCTGCTCTTCCCTTTCAGCCCCCCAGTCCCTCCCAGGCTCTCGTACGCGCCTATGGATTTTTGGACTGTTGGTTTATATTCCAACTATAACTCATATTGTTTTTGTCATGTGTTGGTGTTATGTACTCAGGTGAATGTGATGTTTGTGATGTTACTCTGAGTGTGCATCCACACAACAAACATCAGATTCACCTGAGTACCAACACACACAAAAAGTATTACATCTTAGAATACACTGATATCGAAGAAACTAAACTCAGTTCCGAAATATCACCAACTCGAACCGATTTGAACTCGTAGCTCAATTGGTAGAGCATTGGACAAATATCCCAAAGGTTGCCGGTTCGATTCCCACCGTGGTCGGGCAAACTTTTCAGCTTGTCCGGTTTGGATGCACACTCAGAGTAACACCACAAACATCATATTGTTTTATCACTTTTCATGTCTTTTAGAATGGTCCATTGTTTCAATCACGTCATTGAAATCAAAATGGCTGTCAGCAGCTTCTTACTGTGCTTCCCTGACGAGCCGGGTAAGGATATATATTGACTGTTTGTTTTCGTAAGCACTTGAGGGTATAGTTGAGTTAGTTGACCGGTTGTAGTTTGGAAACCTCAAAGGCGGGCTAGCTGCATGACCTTCCGCCACCAAGACTAATCTCAAAGCAGGACTTTGGCCATCTCCCTCGATATAATTAATTGTTGAAGGGCCTTGAAGGTGTGGACTTTTTTTTAATTAGTTTCACAATACGAAATTGAAGGCACAGACAACAGGACTAATAAAGTTCCAAATTATAAGTCTTCCATACATAAAAATACTACGCTATACTATGCCATACTATACTATACTGCTATAAAATTAAAATACTTAGCTAGTTACATATTTACGGTATTATACACACAATTACATTCATATACAAAAACTCAGAATATGCGGCACTTCTACGAACAACAAGACATAAAACAAGAACAACATTTAGAGCAAAATTTTTTTCAAGTCCTTGGCCTATTAACATCAAAACATGCATTAACTTTTTAGTGTAGTGATTATATAGACTAAATTTCAGTGACTGAATAGAGAGAGAGGATTTTATTTCTCCTGGCAGACTGTTCCATAGTGGCACTATCCTATTGAAAAATAGGTTTCGGAAAGAAGATGTTCTGCAACGGTTTGGTCTGTATATGAATCAGAGCTAAAGCGAGTGTGATGATTGGTAGCATTGTCTAGTATAGTATAGTCTTCAAGTGTTAAGTCATAATAAGTTATTAAAGTGCTTTACATTTATAAAAATGCATAATATCTTTTATTTCGAACCAGTATGAAATAGGCAGTAGATTAAGTTGCTTTAAATGGTTGGTGTAAGATGAGGTGAAGTCTTGAAGGATATACTTGGTCGCTTGTCTAATTCGGATACTTTCTGGAAAAAGAAGGTCCCTAGATGTCGTTTGGGGTGCCCAAATGTCACTGCCATAACACATACAGGTGTGAACAAGATACAAAAAAAAAGAGAGAGCGTCGACAATTTTGAGTGTTTATACATTTATTAGTCGACCTAACCCTGCTTGGCAGTTGTCTGCTGTAAGCTACGATTTTATGTCGAGAACTGACTTTGATCGTACGCAAATTTTTAGTAAACATTTGCTTATTGATATATTGATATCTCACTGATTCGACTCGATTCGACTAGACGATTCCATTGGTTTATTGAGTTTCGCACTCATTGGTGAACGGATTTCCCAATATTTCCCAATAGACAATTCCCATTATAGACTAATTTTAAAATTAGGCAAGGAAACCCAAATAAATCAGCACAGCTAGAAAGAGCATACTAAAATTAGTAAAATTACAAAGTTTGGTTGCGAAATGTTGTAAAATAAGGAAAATATAGCCTTGTAAAGTTCGCAAATTTTGTATACTTTTGTATTGCTTGCGGAAATTCCTACCACGTTCCTACCACATTTAGGCCGAAAATGTCACACGCAATACAAAAGTATACAAAATTTGCAAACTTTGCAAGGCTATATTTTCCAAATTTTACAACATTTCGCAACCAAATTTTGTAATTTTACTCATTTTAGTATGCTCTTTCTTGCTGTGGTGATTTATTTGCATCTCCTTGCCTAGTTTTAAAATTAGTCTATAATGGGAATTGTCTATTGATAGGGGATCCGAGGTACCTACGATTTTAAACGTCCTTATCCGAAAAGACTCTAACCATTTACTGCTGTCAATGTAAAGGTATATAACTTTCTCTTCAATTATTTTAAGACCTTGCGCAGAGGTGCGAACAAGGATTGCCCCGGGTTTCTCAGTTTGAAAGGCGGTAAGCATGCATGGTGACCATGCACGACACCAAAAATTTACAGCAAATTGCGGTTAATTTTGCGCCACCTCCTTCCTTGAAAAGTGCGATATTTAACCGCAAAACGTAAACAGTTCGTTGACTGATTACTATACGTACAAATAAACAGTCTATTGAGAAATTAATTCTAACCATGCATGCAGTGTTAGAATACCAGCCGACAATTTCAAAACAAAAGACAATCCGAAGATTAGCCGATCTTGAAACTCAAGATATCAAACAAGACGACAATGAGTTTGTCTTGTATTGACTCATATTAGTCATATACCTTGAGTCTCAAGATGCTAATCTTCGGATAGTGTTTTGTTTTGTTTTTTGTTTTGTGCAGTGTTATTTTCAAATACATTGCGTTTTATCTGTGATTTTATGAATGACTGTTGGTTGTTGACAAGCTTTGTGAGAAGATAAATACCGGTATATACCGGCTCATGAATACATGCAGTAAACAACATACAATTCCGTGGTAAATCAAACTGTTTGCTCAGTATGACTGCCTTGAGACGCCTGGGATTCCGCTTCGCATGCCGTGACGGAATACATTGGACACAGATGTACGACATTTGGGTCACATAAGCTCATTTGCATAATTCACGCAACAGTTATTTCAAGGTCATGTTTACATGGATGGTTATAGCGTCCTTAGCTTTTGCCAAAAAGTGGGCGGGCGGTCGTTTTTTTTTAAAATTTATACTAATTTTTAACGCCTTGGTTTTAGGTACGAAACTGGATTTTCGTGCGCAGTACAGATATTTTTTATATGTATTTCGGAGTGTGATTCATACCGTCATCAGTCGCACGCTTTGCCTTCTAGAATAAGTTTTTATTTAAAGTACTAGTAATATTGGAAGTTAATATCGTGCACATTTAAATTTATTAACACAATTGACTACAGAAATACTACATATATTAGAGCCCGTTGATCAATAAAAGTTGTTTTTTTTAAATAAAAACTGATAAAAAAATCCTGAACGGGGCCTTTTTTGTGGGCGGGCGAGGACGCTAATTTTTTTATGTGGCCTAACAAGGGTTACCCTACCCAGAGGTCAAAAACTAGCGAGTATTTACATGAGATAGGGTCACCCTACTGCTAGGGCTATGTTGCCCAGATATGGTAATCCTACCTATCATGGTCGGTAAGGCCACTCTTATTTGAAAATGGCCGTCGCGAAGTTTTAGCAGCAAGTTGTATAATTTTATCTCTTGGACCTTTGCTTGCTGCATGTCAAAATGACGAATAAAACATGACTTGCTTGATAGGTTAACCCTACCCCTAGGCCCTAGGTAACCCTAGCGCGCATGTAAACGCAACGCGCAAACACAATAGACTCGCTTACTAGGGTAACCCTTCTGCTAGAGTTACCTTACCTCCATGTAAACAGGCCCTAATAGGAACTAATTTTATGGAATTTGTACTTTGACTTGAAAATTCCAGAGTGTGTTAATTATAGACTTCCTGTATTGAATTCACTATTCCATTACTGAGTCGGCAAATTTGGAAACAATTATATCTTCCCAGACAAATATGAAAGCAAAACGAATCGGCATAATTGCTGTCGCCAGCTGAGCCTTTTTTGGGTAACCTTTGTTAAAAGTTTTATTAAAACATCAATCGTATTTAACCTTTGGAGACTTATTTACACAAGGAAGGATCAATTTCAATTTTATTGAACTTTGCAAAATATGTTGATTTTAATAATTGGCAAAAACGCGTTAATAATTTGTTTGTCAGTCTTTAATTTATGTTGAATTGCATTTTTCCGTTCGACAACATGATTTGCTCATTAGAAGGAAAAACAAATGTTATCAAGGTTGTTTAACATTGACAGATCTCCTAACTATAGAATTTCAAGTTAAATTAAGTTTCACAACCAAACCCAACGATTCATTAGAAAACGCATATTTCAATAAATGCTGCATTAGAAGTGCTTAAGCCTTAAAGTGGGACATGCACGTGGGCAGTGCGTGTTACGAAATTTTTCTTAATATGACAGCGTTTATATGCTGGCTTCTGCTATGTTTTTCAGGCCATATATTACGTTCATTTCAAGTGCGGAATATATCTTTGTAGAGTGTGCCGTTAGATTATCACTATTATAAACGCTTTATATATTGGTGGCCTATGTAACATAATGTGGTTTTCAAATGGGACCTCTATTTGCATTAAGTGCGCAAAATGATATAACAATGCGCACAGAATCTTCGCATTGTTGCGCCATTTACATTTCCTGAACAAATTAACATTTCCTGCACAAGACGTTCATTGCGTGATTTCGCCAATACATCCCGTACTTATTAAAGGTATGGATTGCAGGTTAATTATATAATTGATTCTTGATTTCACCATATTATTATGAGATAAGGAAAATGGTTCTAGCTAATGGGTCTGCATGCCACACTTTTGCCTCCTTATATAGTTATATAAACATATGTCTCTTTAAATTTTGGATATTCCATTTAATTGTCCCGTCAGCACGTATTGAATATTCAAGTATCAATTGGGAGTTGTTTATTTTGTCTCTGCAAAAAATTTTTCAAGACTGCATTTGCACCGCCAATTACGTTTTTAATGAAGTCGCACATTTTCTACTTGACGAAGAAAAATGCAATATAACCGTAATTAAAGCTAATCACCTAATGCCAGTCAGGTTCGAAACGTCGAGAAATTTGGTCTATATTTTTCAGATTAGAGCTAATTTGCGTTTTATTTTCCTTCCTTTATTATCGAATATGTTTATTTCGCTATAAAAACCAACGTTTTTGTGTATATCACAAAAATCTTATCCAATATAACTGTTTATTATTATACCAACACAAAATTCCATCCACGTACGGCTATTAAGTCCATCAAAAAAATGCCTTACAAACGAATACAAGGTCTGGTCTTTTGGTCGACTAAATTAAAAAAAAAGGCTATTTGTAGTATTTTTTTATTGTTATTCAATAAAACGTTCGGTATTTACAATATTATCGGCATGATGAATGTGTATCACTATACTGTATGCAATAGCAATATTAGTTTAGATACATTTTTTATAAAAAAATTATCCTGTTAATTTGTGTGTCAATATGTTCTCTTACTTTCAAACTCAAAAACATTATATATTTCGTACTAATATATTTTGGACTGGAGTACTGTCCGTCAATCTAAGATCAACTGTAACTGACATTTCATCACTGCTCGTTCCATGGGCAATATTAATGAGGGGTTTGCCAGTACTGGTACCCCCAGGAAAAAGGGGCCACGCCCTTTAAATTGGTTCAAAAGTGCAACCATGCCTGCCTGCCCACTAAAAGCAATGTATGACAAGAATTTTCTAAGCGAATCATTGTTGTTTTTTTGCCACAGAAGAATACAAGTGAAACGGTGAATTTGATCGCTTTATCGCACAAAATTCTAGTTGAAAAACATTCGAATATTTCATTTACATTATTGAATATGTAAACAAGGTCAAAATAGTTGGTTCTGTTAAATACAAATTTATCAAAACAAATCTGTTATCACTGCACATTTTCACTTTATCAATGCACAAATTTTTTATCACTGAACACTACAATTAGGTATGTTATAAAAAGCTGAAATAAATAAATAAATAATTAATAAAGCATTATCATTATTATCATTATTAATTACATTATCATTATTATTATCATTAAGTATTATTATTAAGTATCATTATTATTATCATTAAGTATTGTTATTCATATCATTATTATTATTATTATCATCATTATCATTAAGTATTAATTGTTATTATCATCATTATCATTATTATTATTAAGTATGATTATCGTTATCTCAAGTTATTATTTGATTATGTAATTAGTTGCATAGTTATTTCACTGAGAACTTTACAGCAGTTTAATTTAAATCATATTTAATGATCTCGTTATTTTCTTTATATAAACTTAGCTTTTCCCCTTTTTTCACTTTCGGAATTGAATAAGGAAATATATGAATATAGTCATTTTGAACAGTCATGTATGCATGTGCATAATGTTAAAATGAACAAGTTAATTCACTATTTATATTAATGTTAGTATACGTTTAGTCAATTCACAGTTCATTTTGTAATTATTTGTAGTAAAACTCTTTAAATTTCATCGGAATCGAGGTATTCGCTGTTCTGATCATCATGTTCCGTTTGAATGTGCTGTTTGAGATCGCATCTTCGCGAGAACGCCGTTTTACAGTAACGGCAACGATACGGAGTGTTATCAGTGTGAATATGAAGGTGGAATTTCAAATTGGACAACTTATTAAAAGCTTTATTACACAAACGACAGTTATACGGTTTTTCGCCAGTGTGAATCAACAAGTGATTTCGAAGATTGCCTTTCTGATGGAAACCTTTGCCACAGATATCGCACACGAATTCCTTCTTTTCGCTGTGAGTACGAATGTGCGTCTTCAACGTCGAGCTACGGTTGAACGCCTTTTGGCACACGTGACATTTATGCGGTTTGTCGCTGGTGTGAATGATCTTATGTCGACAGAGAGTGCTCGAGAGGCGAAACCCTTTGCCACAGATATTACAGACAAACGGACGAGCTCCAGTATGGCTGGGCATTTTGAGATGAATGGTCAACGTGTATTTTGTTTTAAAAGTCTTGCCACATTGCTCGCATCTGTAGATCGGTTTCATGCCAGGTGCAGGGGCGGGGATCTCTCTAGACTCGGGTGTGTTTAGTTCAGATTTGGCCGCTTCTTTGTTCAAGATTTCAAGCTGTGATCCAACCACTCCAATCTTCTGCGGTGAAGATGCGAAGAATTCGGATTTTGTGAAATTGTTATTCTTCTCAATCATGTCACCATCGATGTAACTTTGGTACATGTAGGAATCCTTCGTCTCCATTTTGTTTTGTTCATTTGGCCAGAAAACATTCTCCCCTCCATAAAATCCTTGTTCCACCTTTGCTTCTTCAGGTAAGGACAAGCCTTTCTTTTGTCCTAAACAACAAAATGACTTAATTTTAAACAAAATGATTTAATTTTCTCATGCAAATAATTCTAACAAAGCTAAGGAATATAATTAACAGTGCCACTCGCTGTTAAGTCTGCCCCGACATGCATTGGCAGACTTGATTTTAATCAGAGATGAAACTGATTGTGAACTAATTGGATGTCAGTGCCACTCTCTATTCTTACGTCTTAGTTTTCGTTATTTGTAATATTAATTTCTTACCACAATTTTGCATTATTCAGGTTATATTTTATGCATTACTGGGCTAGTAACCAATTTTTCAAGAGAAACTGTTATTTAAGTCAGAAATAGAACGTTATGAAATGCATCACAAAATCTTGGATTTTTAAATGCTAGAAATTCACAACTTTGATAAAAATTAGTCCTCTCACGAAACACGGAAAATGCTCTTCCGAGGCTTAAGAAACACAACATTTTTCTGAGGGAGAATGCCCCCAGACCCCCCTTGGTTGAGCCCCCACCCCCAATAACGATTTGCCTCCGACGACACTGATATAGCATAACTCCAATGGCCAGAATTTCCGTTCCTCCAGAGTAAAGAAGGGAGTGAAATATTTTTCAGCCTCAGCTTAAAATTAAACATTCAATTTGTCCTGATAGAATCAATATTCTTAGATATCGAATGGATTAATTTATGATATAGCATAACTCCAATGGCCAGAACTTCCGTTCCTCCAGAGTAAAGGAGGGAGTGAAATATTTTTCAGCCTCAGCTTAAAATTAAACATTCAATATATCGAATGGATTAATTAAAATTCCAGTCCATTTCGAGAACAAATAGCGCATAAAATTCTCAAAAGTGAAAGCTTGTTAATTCTTCTTCATCAATTATAAGCGCTATCAATCTTAGAAATGATAAAAATACTTTATGGAATTCGATTTCCGAGATGCCTGGAAAAATTGTATTCGAACAATCGTTGTATAAACCTGACGAAATTAAACTGCTCATAGAACACGTACGCAACGCAAAAACGTATAGTTTACTCTATTAGTACAACAAGCCAGTATGCTATTGGAATTGATAATGAAAACAAAAGAACCGCTAACCTTTGCATTCAAAATTTATCCACATTGAATGAGTGGTGAAAGAATATAAATAATATAGACATGAAACTGGCGAAATAAGCAAACCATTTATATGCAATTATACACATATATACAGTTGTTTATACCCATGATATATTATTAGTAGTTAATTCGTAGTATTTTATTTAGTCAAATATTTGAGTATTAAAATTGCATGTGGATCGATGCATAGGTTGTGTAAACGCAGATCTAAAATTTCAAGAAACTAACGGTGTAAATGTCAAGGAACAGAAGCGAAGGACGGAAACGATTCTTGCACTAGCGACTCAGTTAATCTGAGATAAAAAAAGCTCGGCTTTGGTAAGAAAGGGGAGATGTGCTACTATACTCTATAATATGCAAGCTAATCCATTGAGTTGCGATAAACTATGGACGTTTATAACAGTTTACAACGTTTCTTTGAGGCACAGATGAAAATGCAAGTATAGTAGTACATACCTTTACTTTGTATCTTCGCATTGCTTCTAGCATTTTCTGGAACATTTAAACTTCGGCGGAGGAGAAACGACCTTGGCATTTTGAAATCGAACTGAGATTTCGCCCAAGACTAGAGCAGTGCAACAATCGGGAAACTATCGTTGAAAAACGCCTATGAGATGCTCAGAACACACAACAGTTCCGAAACAAGTCAGTTCAGGATAAACTGCACGCTTCAAGCTGTTTCTCAAGTGTGTTGTGCCGTTGCCTGCCCAAATGCGTCTGAGGAACCGCGAATTCAGCATATGAAGCATTTGGGTCAATTTAAGTGTACCGCAAGAAGAGTAGAGGTTAGAAAACAATGCCGAGATTGACCAATCAGATGCTTTGTTTTAGTAAACACGGGGGCAGGAATGGCTTTTTATGGTCCGTGGCCAACTGGTAGACAACTGGTGCTCAAAGAGATCACCTGTCCTCAATAATTTGAATACAAACTTATTTAAACTACTAATTTAACTGTCATCAATTGTAGTTTGAATCATTTGAAGTTTTCGATGGAAGGCATATTTTTGTTTATTTTACTTGTGTCATATATATTCTAAGCCGGAAAAAGAACGTATATAGAGTGATATACATGTAAATATAGTCGATAGAATAGAATGCTATTTTAACATCCCAATTGAGATTGCCCACATGATTTAAAGTTAGTATTTGAAAACAATTTTTCACGTTCGTTTGACCAATTTTCTTCAAGTTATATACTAATAAACTATAATATTACCATTTATCATATATTTTCAAATGATTATACTGAACGCTGTTAAATATAGCCTAGGTATTCTTTCTGTGCTGTTTGGCTTATTTGCAATTCGGGCAAGTAAAGTTTTATGCAAAACTGTTAAAGTTTGTATGGCTGGCAAAATATTAAGAAATAGAGCGACAAATTTACCCTCTAAAAGAATTAACATATAAATCGAAAAAGTATGTCCAAAAATGTAGTGTTTTAACAGTTCTAATGCCTATATAAGTAAACTCCATATAAAAAATGCTCGACTCTTGCATTTCAAATATAAAGCAAGTTTTTTATCTTTGAAGTTGTATCTTTCTACAGAAATCTTTACAGTAGTAAAAGGCTTAGAATTTCTTATCTTTGCATAATTTGAAGCCAAGTGTGACATTGCGATATTGATTAAAATTAAAATCCAATTTGAATTATCATTCTCAAATTGATAACTACGTACAAAAGTAGCAAATTAAGTGAGGAACGTTACAAATTCGATGCAAAAATGCACGCGGGAAAAGACGAATTTCAAGCGCTTAAAATAATCGCGAATTTGTGTGTTGTGCCTTTTTTATATTCAAAATCAAAACAACAAGCGGTGCATATAAAAACATGCATAAATTGTGGTCAGTCGTGCATGCTGCTTTATAAACTCGTGTATTACACATATGCGAGGCATATGTAATATGTTTTGTCGTTTATATACATGATTACAAACAGTTATTAATGTTTTGAGACTTATAGTAGGTTAAAAAGGCGAAATTGTGCGAGATTTTCACATATACGTAGCACCGAATAAGTTCGGTTGCCCGTTTTCTTTCAATTTTGAAGCACATTAAAGATTAATTGTTTAAAAAACATCAACCGACTAGTAGCGACCGCAACGTGTTGTTCATATAAACGAAACCTATAAATAAAGTGAAAACTTAAACAAATTTGAAGGCAAAACCAAGCTAATTTACGAAAAGAATGCCGAAAATTTCTATTTTCAACCGTTTTTCGATAAAACACCTAATTTGGAAGGTGTTATGTATACTTATGCTATAAATCTTAATGAAAATGTTCTTAAACATTTTTCGCACGTAATTCCAACATGGCTGACTCGGCTCCCTGCTTGATGCAGCTTGCCAGGTTGACCGCAGAACAAAGTAATGTATATAAACTGCAATTATATCGATGTTAGAATTTTCGCGTTCATCACAAAAGCATTGTTTTAGAGTGAAAGTAATTATGTAAGGCAAAGTAAATGAATGTCATTTTTGAATAATGCCGATAAATGGCATTGTAATATGAAGCATAATTAGACGTGCTGATTTGTGTAGTTTCTTACTGAGCCAGGCTGAACCAGTGACAATCACTAGAACTCTATTATACAACTCAAAGGAATGATACATAACAGCCGATTGAACTTATAGCTATAAGCAGTAAGCTAACTAGAATCAAATCTCCCACGCATCAGACTCGTAACTAGGATTCTATATTTACCGAGTCGACCGCCGAAGGCGCCAGAAACCTCTAGGAGAGTCTGCGGAATTTTTAATTTCTTAGACTTGGACTATTTTCAACATTTTCTTAGGCTATTTCCTACATTCTGAGAGCGTTTTTAACGAAAAAAATCAATCTTACAAACAGTGACACAATGACTATAATTTTATCTCAAAATTTTTCTCTATTGTTCTCCAATCCTAAGACAAATCACGCACAAATCGTGGCTATAAGATATGCCGAAAACAGGTATACTTTATAGCTACAAACCCTGGCTATAATTGGCCTGCGTATGGACCCAACGATCCAACTCATTTCTTCGAGGAATCTTACTGAGTATAATTAAGTCGACTTGTATCAGTTCTAAACTGATATCTATTCTCTCTATAAAGATCCAGTGATAAAAATCCTTCACCGTACCGGCATCCTACTGCAGGAAACCTAAACAAACCTTACATTACTGAGAAATTCCCAGGAGCCTCTTTGCGCCATTGTCAGAACAAGCGCCTGGCACCTGCGGACTCATGATATTCATGTGAAAAGAGTCAGTCAACATTCTTCCGAAAGTCGTGGGTTTTCTCCGGGTATACTTGGGTTTCTTCCCACGGGGAATTTTGACAGGGTGAGTTGGAATTAGCTCCTAACTGACCCCCTCACCCGTACAGGGCCGGCATCAGGTAGTCGGCAAAATATTAGATCCCACTCGGCAAAACATGGATTTGGATTGGAAGAGAAAAAAATTTGAGTGACACCGATTACAAATTAAGAATGATAGCTAAAAGGTGGAGAAATCAGTACGAAAAAAATAGGGGGAAATTGAACAAAAGAACGATAAAACTGTGGCAATTGATGCACCAGGCGGAAATCTTAGTTTAAAGATAAAGAGCAGAGCCCAGCAAATAACTTTAAATCCAAACATAATAAAAGTAAAAAATTTATTAGCTAACGTTTCGTTGTTTACAATACAACATCTTCAGAGCAATCTAAATGAATTTACAGGGTATGGTATATATATTTACAAAATAATGGTTTAATATTACAAAAACGGTCACATAGTTTGAAAGAACAAATGAATAGAAAGAAAGGAAAACAACTTATCAGTAACTAGTTAATAAGTTAAGATTAATGTATGGTTAGTATAGTTAAGGTTAATATTACATAACTAAAATAACTCAAGAGAGGTAGATCTAATATTAGCATTAAGAACAGGGTTAAGTTGAGATATTAATAGGCTTTCACGGATAAGAAGAAACCACTCAGAAGTGCCTGATGATAGGATTTTGAAATTAGAAGCGGAGACTGGGTGTTTGTGAACAATAAACGATAAAAAAACGATAAAAGAACGATAAAAGAACGATAAAAGAACGATAGTTAAACACAAAATAAGAATGAGAAATATTCACTCGGCAAAATTTACTTATACCCCCCTCCCCCCATTCAAAGAGGTCTAGCGCCGTCCCTGCCACAGTAGCTGTGCTTCGTGATCATAGATAAGTCATAAAGTAGCCTCAGGTAGAACTTCGTAATTCAGCTTAGCTCTCAGCTGCAAGTAACGGGATGATTAGCACATTCCCCACTTATACTTGCTTACTGTCTTGTTCCATTTCTTCTTTAGTGACAGCAGACTTTGTTACCTCAAAAGGAATCAAATAAGAGATCCCCAAAACCTGCAATGTTTGAGAGAGTCAAGTCAGTTAACCTGGAAATACTTTAACTTCTTAAATGTGAGTCTCCAAGGAATTAGCATTTCTCACGGCCGATTTTTCCGCCATTTTGGGGTAGTACCTCTCCCACGTTTAAGAGTGTTCGTACCACGAAATCTTTTTATTAGTATTGTAGTTGTTTGTATAATGGTACATTTACAGTTACAACTTTTAAAAGTCGCTTTTCACGTTTTTTGAATTGTCTAGAATCTTTCACGAGGGCAGACAGTACCCCAAAAATGGCGGATTTAGTTTGGCCTTCGTGAGAAAGGCTAATTGATGTCCTACAGCAGTTGAGGATGAAGGCACACTACTCCACTAGGTTGCACTAACCATTGTGCTATCCGACTCCACAGTGATTAATAGAACTTAGGGAGAAGGAATTTAGATTTTTGAAGATTCTTGCATGGTGAGTAATATATGCTTGTATATTTATGCAAGCAATTAACCAAAAATAATTTGCAGTTCGCCTTGCGAGCGAAGCGAGCAGCCGGAACAGGTTTGGAACCGTGTAGCTTGCGAGTTGCGAGGTGGGACGCCGGGGAAACCTTTTTTATCAGACGGTCCTGAGAAAGTCAATTTTGGCAATAGGAAACATAACTCAGAGCTTGGGAGGCTTGAGATTTGGTAAACAAAATTTGGCAGGAAATTAAAATAATCAAACCAGTACAGAAGACAATCAGTACAGAAAAAAAAACACGTATTAAATCTGGTCGGTGAATATTGCAAAAAGGTGTGGGAAAAATTTTAATTTTCTGGTACTATACTATCGTGCACAAGACCTTCTGACCCAAGTTTGCAGTACTTACGGATCACAACACACATGGAATAATAATATGAGTTTTGTTTTTTGTGGAAACATCGCGTATATTTATTATTGCAAAGCTTTTGAACCGTAAGATCTTCGTCAGAGATAAAAAGATATTATTAATTAGCGCTGATGAAGATACGGTAAAAATATATATTATTAGCACTGATGAAGAATGCTTTGCAGCAATAAATATATGTGGTGTCGTGGTCATTCACATGCACAAACCAAATCTTGTGACTTGACTTGGACTTGCAAAATAAGAAATGTTAACAACTTTGGTTTGAACATTATCTTTGACTTTGACTGATAACGTTCGCCGATTTTGGAAGATATTGGTTTTCATTCATTGGTATGAAATAGGTAATTGGACAAGTACTGGTGTAAGACATTCTGTAGCCTAAATAATGAGGACCAGCAGTTCAAACGGTTATCCTTTATTTATTTACTCCGACTCCTGTGATGGTGAACATGTACGCAAAAAACAAGGGAAACTACGATTAGATAGTAACTGAATATGTGAATTTTATGTGACACGATGAGGGCGAGCGAGGATATATAAGAGCGAGAGATTGAATTGGAATAGGAAAGGCCACCCTGTACGCGTTTCGACCTAACAGTCTTCTTCAGCAGGGTTTTTTTAAGGGGGGGGGGGTGTAGATAGAGTTTGCAGAGTGAAACTAGAATGCAGGAGAGTTTAGGAGCACTGAACATATGTGAAACCAGAGAAAACAAATTATTACGAAGTTATAATGAATTACACAATACAAAAATGAAGGTTGAAAGAAAGTGAAAAGGATGAAATTACTGAATATGTTATTAGTAAAATTATCCTACCAAAGGTCTTGTTGTTGCGGGACATTCCAACATTACGTACTTTATTGTTCATCTTTTAACTATATTTTTGGAGCGAATATTTTTGACTTTGTCCAGAATTTTCATCCAAAAATGGGGATTGAGATGGATTCACCTACCTCGGTCCTGAAAAATGCAAGTAAAACTTCGTCGAAAGACGTTTTCCTTGCATTTTTCAGGTAATGGAACCCCTCCCAACCCCCACACTATACTCTTCACCTACTCTGGCAGACCGTTCGAGTTTATTCTTCTCCATCAATGTCGTACGTTGTCGTTGCATAGCCATAGGATTGCTTTGGGCGGGTCTTAAAAAGTGACAGCCGAACTGCTATAGTTTACTTTTCTACCGCATAGTAAAGTTCAGTATCCCGCACTCGGAGATTTCAGTATCATTAAGAGGAGAATCTTTTGTATCTTACGTAACACGCATGACTAATGAATATACATGATTTTTTCTGTGTTGGTGTAATGTACTCAGGTGAATATGATGCTTGTGATGGGCTAGTATTCCAAAAGTCGTAGGTTCGATTCCCACCGTGGTCAGGCATATTTTGCAAGCTTGCCCGGTGTGGATATACACTCAGAGTAACATCACAAGCAACTAATGAATGATACTTTTCCACTTACATGGTTATGACTTATGACTATATTCATACGTTTCTCAAGCGGCAAACGAACTTAAAAAGTATGTTTAGTGCTTTATCTGTAAATTAATGCTAAAATGAAGAGATTTTAGATGAGAAGAGAAAATGATGTCTGAAGTTCAGTAAGTTTTGCTTACATATTGTTGTATAAATATGGCGTCAACTTTACAGCATCAATGATAATTGTATTTAAATTGACAATATTTAACTATTTTGTGTATCTCAACCGCCAGATACATTTGAAAAGGTTGCTAACTGTGTCAAATTACAAACTAAAGCTAACTACAAACGGTAATTTTGAGCCGGAGGAACGCCAAAATGATTTTAGGTTTTGAACATTTTTAATTGTGCTGCATATAGCATTCTGTGATATAGTCTCAATTGTCGTTTGGTGTTACATGCAAAATCAAAGTACTTAGTGTCACCTAAGATTATGAATTTCGTTATTTCTATTATATTAATTACATTGCAAGGACAATTTAGTATCGAAATGAAGGGATTAGCGCAAATCTTTATTCTGAAACTTGAAATATTTTAGTGGATTTAAGCACATCTCATCAACCTTGTCATGCGTGCATTGATCTCAGAGATAAGCTTGTGACAAGAAGGCTTTTCAAAAGATACAAAGAAACAAAGACCGCAATGTCATTTCAATAAAGATGATTGTTCAGATTTAAACAGCTTGCACTCATAGAGTCAATCGTCCGAATCTATAGTTCTATATAACATTGTATTTCGTCAAAAACGATAAATCATAATACTTAAGAACGAGAAACGCTTGATCTGTAGCTATTGCAGTGGTATTAACGACGTGCGCATGCGAGGTAGAATCCCTAGCAAATGAATTCACTTCACCACTGATCTCAAAATTCACTGGACTGTTATTCGTAGGACAAAGGAAATATGCAGTCGAAATTTGTCATCAGTGGGGCTCCCATCTTAAATTTGCCAGCGAATAACTAATAATGTCACATCAATGTCTCAAAATGAGTCCACGCTGCTCATATTCAGCAAATTTTCTTCTAGTACAGCAGGCTCGCATCTCGCAGCGGACTCAATACGGTGAAAAATTGAAAGCTTTGCATTTCACACAGAGATTCATAGAGCTTGCAATTTTGCGTAAGATGTCCGCTGACAATACGAGCCCGGACGAGTGGGAGAAAATTCGCTCTAGTTCGACAAAGTTGGTCTTCAAACTCGTTAGAAGACTTGCAAGAAGCTTTATCTCGCAAGCTAGATCGGAAAGGATATTTGCTTTATAGTAAAACTAATTTCAACACCCTTGGGATTCGACCGTGTAAACAATATATATTTGTAATAATATCTCCTCACCATAAGTATTCTGGCGTTAAAATTGACCCGTTGCCAATCCAAAAGTGTCGCTATAATGGTATCAGTAGGCTTAGCGTCTTAATTTTGGTTGGATTGTAGTTTATTCAATCAGGAAAATGCTTCAAAACCTAAAATCTTTTTGGCGTTCCTCTCAAAATTACTAGTTAAATATTGTCAATTTAAATACAATTATCGTTGATACTGTAAAATTGACGCCATATTCATCTCTCTGGCAACGATCAATTCTGAATGGTTCATTCTTTAACATATATTCCTATTCATGAAAACGATGAATGATGATTAATGACGAAAAAGTCACGAAATTACAAAAAAATGAAATCGGAAAGGACAAGATTACAGGAATTCTCACGCAGAGAAAGATTCTTTTCGGAACTATGATTGTATAATACTTAAGAATCCGGATATAATTATCCCACTGACGCATTTCGGAAGAGCTTAGAATTGAACTTCAGACGAATATACGTGTTTCATGCACGTACTTATTTGCCTGCAATGTCCATCGAGAAATTATTAATGGTAATGGGATCATATTTTTTCAGATCAAATTGTGAGGTGATTAATTAAATAGTTTTGGCCAAAAACCATGGAGTCAGTGGTTTAATTGAACACAAAATGATAGACACTCCATAAATTGTATACATTGACTGTCTATATAGTTTTGTGTAGGTTTAATTTAATAGTTTTACTTAGCAAGCAAAGCAAAACTGTGTGATTTGAAAGACATATAGCTTCCCACATATCATTTTAACGAGTGCAGTTTTGGCACTAGATTTAGGCCCGTAAGCGGCCTGTCAGTTTTGGGGAAAAACACGAAAAAGAGGCCATTGATCAATGAAGCCAAAAATATTCTGTTTCTGGTCAGCCGGGATGTTTCTGCGACTTTTTCCTTCCTTTTCTTCTTGAGAGTTAAGGACTAAGGGCTTTTTTGCAGAAAAGGGCGAGTATTTTTCTAGTTTGTATATACAGTGTATGATGAAGGACCGCCGCATTTTCAAAAAGGCCCTGGGAACGAGGTTGGTGTGATGGACCCGTATATTTGGCAAACTCCGTTGTGGTGCACAGTTAAAAAAGGGCGCGCCCTGACAAGGAACAGAATAAATTATCAATTTATTGACCATAAATCAGTTCCCTTGTTTAACCCGATAACCAAGAACTTTGAAAATCTTGCATGTACATTTGCAATCGGCTTTCGAATTTCGATATTTACGTCACAAATACATATTTTGCCTGAAGGCAGGCTGTACTGCCAATTCCTAACCAGTGGAATGCTGTGTCAAGTTCCAGTATTGGCAAAGGATTTCGCAGATGGAAATTTCGAGTCTGAATTCTGAAAAAAAAATGCAACTACAGGAATCGGATTTCGCATGCGATCAACATTCCGGAATGCATCAGGAATGTTGCATCGGTAAATTGTAAGTTTTGAAGGATATATAATTGTGCAGAGAAATTTACGTAGAGTTTACTCATGCAATCATCACAGAAACTTTGATAGTGTTAAATAGCCTTAATTTGGGCCTGCGATATATATTTATCACATGTCCGTATGTCCGCATATCCGCGTTTTCCACCTAACCATATACTACGAAACCAATTCTATAATTAGTTATATCGAATGTAGCAGATATATACTATCCAGTCACAGAATAGATACTGGACCAGAAGTGTCACTGATCAGACGATATTTTGTCCGAAATTTTACGAGTGCTGACGTGAAAATACGCCATCATATGACACCATCCTGGAGTGCACACGGAAGTTTTTCATAGGACAAACCGAGTAGGTACAAAGTGCCGTGTGCGCTCCAGGATGGCGTCATAGCACGTAAAAAAATTCGGACGTTTTTTTCCAAGCCGAAACACATAGGAGTGTCCCTTCTGGTCTGGTATCTATTCTGTGATCCAGTTATCCGGCCTTACTTGCCATATTTGATAAATTAGAAAAGTTTAAAAAAAGATCATTATGGTCGATTATTTCAGGAATTTCCACGTAGAGAAGAATCTCCTTGAAACGAGAATTATAATGGGGCTTTGGCCGGATACATTTATTCCATTGACCCAATATTGGGAAAAGCTTTATATAACAGCCACACGGACGTGTGCCATTGAGTGACCCCTAGCTCAACGGACCGACGGACGGACGGACCGACGGACCGACGGACCGACGGACGAACAGACCGACGGACGAACAGACCGACGGACGAACGGACCGACGGATGGACAGATGGCTTATATCCTCGCTAAATGTCATTTAATAGTCATATGCACGTAACGCGGATGAGTATGAGTATGAAAGTGGAGTGAACCTTTCAGCGTTACAAGTAATGCTGTTATCAACAGGTGCCCTACATTCCAACAAGTTAAAATATAGGAAGGTAGAATACTAATAGTAATATAAAGATACACCTAAAATTATATTTACATTATTTTTAAATATATTTAATATAATGATATGGATATATCGATATGGATATATGGATATATATATGGATATGGTTGAGAAAACGTTTAGTTTCAGTCCTTTATAAGTAATATCCGCGTTTTATTCTAACCCGTGTCAGACCACGGCTCTTCCAAAAATCTCAGACAGGATTTAGAAATGTCCGAACGTCCATCGTATTCATTGATTAAAGTAGCCGCTGAAACTAGCCCGCGTGTAGGCCCACCGACTCACCGAGGGAAGAATACCTGCACGAGGGCTAGGCTGAAACATGTACTGGGGTGCTTAGAATGTCTTTCACAAAACTTAAAAGAGAAAATCCTCACGCGATCATCTTACCTACTAATTTGAAAGATCATTGAAAACTGTAGAGTAACTTCTTTGACAGATTTTTGTTTTCTTGCTTCGTTTTGGAGATATTTTATTTTGTATGATATGCAAAGGACCAACTTCTACGTCACACATGTATAATGATTTACGTTAAAATGTTTAAAACTTTAAAATATAATTTTGTCAACATCAAATAAATTCGCTCAAAATTGAATAATGAGCACGAGATTTGTCCACAACAACACCCATGTATGTTTTCTACTGATTGTGTTTAGTCATATTAAAGATATACAGCTTTTAGGGCTAAATCATTATGCATATGTGACGTAGGAAGTTGGTCCTTCGAATATCATACAAAATGAAATATCTTCAAAACAAAGCAAGAAAACAAAAATCTATCAAAGAAGTTACTCTACAGTTTTCAATGATCTTTCACTTTGGACAAAAAAAAGAACAACGTCAATTTTCCAGTCATATGCCCTTTAATAACAACCCTCGAGCATTTCTTATAAATCCTTCAAAACCTACAATTTACCAATGCAAAATTCCTACTGTGATCACAGAAACTTTGATAGTGTAAACCATCCTTTATAACACTCAGTAAGTTTCCTCAAACATTTCTTACAAATCATTCAAAACTTAGAATTTACCGATGCAAAATTCCTACTGTGATTACAGAAATTTTGATAGTGTAAACCATCCTTTATAACACTCAGTAAGTTTCCTCAAACATTTCTTACAAATCCTTCAAACTTAGAATTTACCTTTGCAAAATTCCTACTGTGATCACAGAGACTTTGATAGTGTAAACCATCCTTTATAACACTCAGTAAGTTTCCTCAAACATTTCTTACAAATCCTTCAAAACTTAGAATTTTCCTATGCAAAATTCCTACTGTGATCACAGAAACTTTGATAGTGTAAACCATCCTTTATAACACTCAGTAAGTTTCCTCAAACGTTCAGACGTACTGTAGAAAAAGTATGTAATGTTCATCCGATCCTAAATTTGCCTTTCTCAAATCTACAGCGCAATGATAACCTTCACCTTGTACTTAAGGTGTAACTTTGTTTACCTTTTGCAGACAGCACCATGAGGACATCGACGGTATCTGGAACATCTAGGCAGATTTGTACAGTATCTGTACCAGCCTTGCCCTCGGCAACAATATTGATGTTCAAAACACTCTTGGTGGCTTGTACAACGTTTCTAAAATGAAAACGATGAGGGGGAAAATATCGTTTTAGTCAGGTAGGGTAATTAATTCTTAATTTTAATTTCATAATCTTTACATCTTAAGACCCATTTCCACTCAAGAAAAATTTCCACGGATAAAACATTTTCGGAAAATATCATTGTTAAAAGTTGAAAATTTTCGACTTCAAAATTTTTTTCCGACGGAAAATTTGTGTCAGCCAATCACATTTCACAAAATTTTCTTTCCGCGGAAAATATTCCTGAGTGGAAATGGGCCTTTAGGGGCTATTGTCGTATATTTAAACCATAATTTGAGACTCCTAGTTTTTTTTTTTTTATCAGATTCGTATTGGAAATGCACCAAACAAAGCATTTTTATCGTTATATTGATTGATTTTGGGTAATCGATTTCAGTATTTCTTAGTCGCATCAGTCCATTCACGGTTAATAGAACTAGAGGTCCATTATAATGTTTTATGCCAAGACATGGCAGACTTACATATACCGACTTAACTACGGTGTTGGATATCTTGGGCTTGGGAAAGGCATATGCCACTAGCAAAGAGTGTAGTACGCTGATAGCAACCAGCAGTTCCGCGTATCTACGTGGTATTTGGCTGAAAACAAAGAAGTATACCAGACCCTAATATTGGGTTACCTCCGGTACGAAAGTACTCGATTTATCGCAACCCGACAATACCATTAAGTTTGAAATATCTCGTGCGATGTTTTAAACTGTTTTTTACCTGGAATTTTGACTGCAGTCATTTGTGTATTGTATAGAAATTGAGATTTACTTACTTTGAAAAAGAAGCGACGTTCTAAATCATTGTCATTGTCCTCATCACATCGAACGAAGGACGTGGCGAGAAATAGAACCAGAAACACTCCGAGCACGAAAACCTTCATTTTTTAAAAAATCTCTTGCTTACAAACCAGAGTTGTTGCTTGCTTGATGATCAGGCGATGTGTGTGTGAAGAATCTGATTTTTGCTGTAGTAGTAAGACTGAAATTTATGTCTGACGCAATTGCATATTTAAACAGCTTGGTTTTACTACAATGCTTGAGAAATAAGTTTGTTTAAGTTGACAAAACACGTTTTGTTTCATGATTTAATTCCTTGCGGTGATTAAACATTTAGTTTGATTAAGAACAAAGGAGACGTTGAGCAAGAATTTCAGAAATTCTTTCACAGTGTCTACACTTTCCCCTGGTTGCTTTGCATGGGAGGGCGTCAGTCTTAGGAGGACTGGTGCGGATGCACCCCAACCCCACACATGCACTTTTTGGGGTTGGGGGATAAAATCTAATTATCCCCCCCCCCCCCCACACACGCACTTTGCCATATTTTGATTTCTCTAAAATTCATGGTACATGATTAATAGTTATTCAGAGTCAGTTATAATAAAAAGCGCCCTATCCCACAGCAAGTCTGTTTCAATAGACAATTCCCATTATAGACTAATTTTAAAACTGAGCAAAGAGATGCAAATAAATCACCCCAGCTAGAAAGAGCATACTAAAATTAGTAAAACTACAAAGTTCGGTTGCGAAATGTTGTAGTAAAATGAGGAAAATATAGCCTTGCAAAGTTCACAAATTTTGTATACTTTTGTATTGCGTGCGGAAATTCCTACCACATTCCTACCACATTTGGGCCGAAAATGGTAGCAATTTCCGCACGCAATACAAAAGTATACAAAATTTGCGCGAACTTTGCAAGGCTATATTTTCCTCATTTTACTACAACATTTCGCCACCAAACTTTGTAGTTTTACTAATTTTAGTATGCTCTTCAGTTCTAGCTGTATAGCTTCAGTTCTAGCTGTGATTTATTTGCATCTCTTTGCCCAGTTTTAAAATTAGTCTACCTGTACAATAAAAACTGGTATAAATTTTGCCCTAAATAAAAATACCATAAAATTTAAGGAAGCAAATGCCTCCAGGTCTATCGGACAATCATCCCACCCCCCACCCCCCTAAATTCTGGACTGGATTATCACCTCAGCTGTCAGTTGCTATCGTCGCTACACTGGCAACGATAGTTTGAGATTATAACTTATTGAATGTTATAATTCAATTTAATCTGAAAAGTCTGAAAATTTAAAGCTAAAAGGTGTATCAAAACAAATATTTGAAACTTAACAATAAAATCAAAGGCATGCAATGTATGTCAGTTGTATCTCCTCCAAAAATTTAATTCAAAGAAAATAAATAGGCATGCACCGGATTCATGTATAGAACGAATCACAATCCTTCACTATATAAAAATATTGTTTAATTGAATAAATACTTCCATATACAACAATATAACATACAAGCCGTTATATACAAATACATCTATAATAATATTATTTTATGTTCTTAATTAATAACAGACCGGCAAAGTCTAAAACATTTCGTGATTAATTAATTAATTAATTGGGCCAAGTTAATATTTCCAAGAATTATTTTACAACATATATTCAATCGTGTCAACACCACGCACAGGTTTGCGTGAACACCACGCACAAGTTTGCGCGAACTCCACGCACAAGTTTGCGTGAACGCCACGCATTTCTCAAAAGCGATCATTGTGTTCTTTATTCTAAGTGCTTACTCACTGAATAATTAGAAAGGTACAGAATTTGGCTTCCACTATATACTGCCACCGTTACCCGGCATTAACCAATGAGATGCATTTATTTTTTCCAATTAACCAATCAAATGCGTATTACGCTTGTGAACAGGTACACTGGAAGAAATAGTGAAATCCATACCAAGGAATTTGCAATTGCATGACCAAATCCATAGCTGGGAATTGCAATGGGCAATTCTAGCTATAGACTAAATTTTGATCAAGGCAAGAAGAACAAAATCTATCACCACAGCCAGAAAGAGCATGTTAAAGTTAGTAAAATTGCAGAGTTTGGCCGCGAAATGTTGTAAAATGAGGAAAATATAGCCATACGAAATTTGCAAATTTTATATTAATTTTTAGTAATACAAATTGCCTACGACGATCCATACTGCTGTTTTTCCAGGGTAAGAATTTTGAAAAAATTTCCAGTGGCATATAGTGGTTGTGGAAGTCAAATCTGAATCTTTCCAATATTACAAGAATTAAGTTTATTTATTTATATATATATATATATACAGTAGATTACCACATCCCATCTTATCAATTACATATAGTTCCCAGGAGCCGATTGTTCAAACCGTGATTAGTGCTAACCCTGGGTTAAAATTTAACCAGCTGTTTTAATTAGTTCATGTATTTCTGCACGTCTGTTTATTTCAAAACGCCAGAGAAGAAAACTCCTACTGCATGTCCAGACAAGATTTCCAAAGAAATATTTCTAAATTTGTATGCAAGCTGTTGGGAAGTTTGTAGCCTGCGAACAGGCTCTTTGATTCAAAGAGAGCCTGTTCGCAGGCTAGGAAGTTTGCTTTGAATTTTAGGTTAATTAACCTAGGGTTAAGCTAATCCAGTTTTCAAACAACCGGCACTTGGTATACAAAATCACCATTTATAATGAGGTCTGTTTATGTCCACCAAATTGCACCTTCTTGGCGCTATCGTGAATTATTTTATTTATCGTGAATCATTTTATTTAGATTCATAAATATGACATGCCTCGATCTGTTGATGGAAAACAATAGGCTGAAATTGCCAGTATCGCCGTAATGAAACACATCCAGCTGCCGTAGGGTAAATGATTGTTTTTTCTTGTTTTTCTCTCAAGATCATCTCCAATGTCTTTCAGTTTTATTGCCACGGCAACTAAGCGTTGCTGGTGGTTTAGTCCATGTATTAATAGCTCGTCGTCATCCATTTTGGTTGCAAAGATCTGGCTATTAGATCTGTTCAAAATTTTTGAAGTTTTCTCAAGCTGATTTTTCTCAAGGGGTCGAGAATCAGAGATTTTTCAGCGTGGTGATTGCAAAGTTCTTTGGACTCCGGAGGTGTCTTCTTTAATTAGAGGGAGATCACAATAGTTTCCAAGGGATTAGTTTATGAAACAAGATCTCAGTGTTGACCATATAGATGATGATGGTCGTTCTTTTTTACAGATGAGGAAGCTATTAAAGAAAAAGGAAAAATCAATTATGGAATGTTTTGGCCAGAAGAGAAAACAATGGGAAAAAGGTTAGACTTGTGAGCTATATTTTGAACCAGGGTTGGGTAGCCGGTCCCGGCGCAATATTACAATATTTACAAATACACAAACGGGGTCACGGAGATGAAAATGTCTAAAAAATATTTAAACAGTTTCACTGTTCTTTATCGTGTTATTTTTGGACAGAAAAGAATGCTGTCTTTTATCGCACTGGGATTAATGTAAGATTAAGATATCAATGCGTGTTGATGCGATTTTTGCATGTACATATAATTATAAGCGATTTAAATCTCTACGTGATTAAAATAATCTCAGCTTTAATAGTCACGCTTTTCATAATAAAACAATCTGGTTACATAATCATGCATGCTTAGAGAATTACTAGCCCCCCCTGCCCGCGCTATCAAAACACCTCGGGTTCTAAATCTAGTTATATCGAGAAAGATTCATTAAAATCCTGAATTTCATAGTCCCCTTTCCGTTCTATTCAATTACATTTTCCGCTTTCACAGCCAATATATATGTTTACGAAAACATCGAACATGTCGCCAGAAAGTCGCTTTGCAGGAAGATAGATTCAATATCTCACGCGATATTGTGCATTGTTTTGAACCCACGGTTCAAAGTTCTGGACAATATGAGGAATTATAGCGAAGTATTAGTTAGTTCTGGACAATATGAGGAATTATAGCGAAGTATTAGGAATTATTCCAAGTGATTATCTGCAACATTTCAGTTCTAATTACGCAACAGTGGTTTCTAGAAGTGTCCGGTAGTTTTATTGATAAGCCTAATGTAAATACTGCGTAATGAAAAAAACACACAATCGCAAGGCAAGTCACGCGAACACGTTTATTCATGAGTAAGACATGATAATAATAGCTGCCGTGGTTTATGTTTGAACAACCCGAAACAGATTCGTCAGGGCAATTTGCCAGGGCTTTTGCGACATATGTCGAAGCTTTTGTAATCTTTTTCTGCATATACTACCTATACACGACTATAATATAAACTGCTGCGCTGTGAAGGGTTTACTGAACTATTTGAGGAATATAAGCAAAACATCGACGTTTTGAGCCGGCGAAGGGCTTTGTTGGGAAGCTGGTAGCTTCGTTCGGGATTTCCCACGCGACTCTATATATACAGTAAACGGTCTGAATCCCCACGTTTTTTCATATATACTATAGTCTATATGACGATGTTTACTGAAACTCGAAGTTGACTATATAGCAATTAACAAGGTCGCGGATATATTACACAATGCAAAAACAGCAAGGATAAATATAGGAAGCATGAACAATAACAATATTGTGATTGCTTCATTGTAACGCTGAATGATACCGAAATATATCTATCGTGGACCAGAAACACTCAGGGTGTCTCGCAATTAATAAAACGACAAAGTTCTCTTTAACAATCAAGATGCGTTCAAATAGAACCTCGGGCCTAAATGGCTAGGAACCTTGATTTGGCCGTTTCCCGTTTGCCCCCTTTGTTGAAATGTTTTTCATTTTTTGTATACAAAACTGTTTTTCAGTTGTAAAAGACTAAAATTGGCCCAGGGTAGGCAGTGATAACAATGAACAACAGCGATATGTAGGAGATACAACTATATACCTGAGATAAACAAGCAGAACTGCAAAAAATACAAACAGTCCGTTTGTATTTTTCAGGTATGTCCCGCTACATACCGCTGCATGTTGTCAAATCAAATAGTCCATTGCAAAAACTGAAAATTTCACTCCACGAAAGAGGCAAGGGTTTAAGGATTTTAAAGCTTAGCAGCTTTTCACCAAGGAGTGAAAGTATAGCTGCATAGTGTGCGCGATTTAATGGAAAAATCATAACATCAAATTCGTGCATGAAAACGCATGGAAAAATATATGGTTATATACACCAAGCTCAAGAGAGATGCGGCCAAACGAGACTTCAAGAATGTTGAACATTTGAATATGTTCCCCGGCACAATTAGAATGTTTATAAAGTAACACTTTAGGCTCATGAACAATAACATGAATGATGTCATTTAAAACCTAAGTCCATTTATATGTGAAGCATTCATTCTCAAATTCTTTTCCCCCTCGGCCTCGAGAGTTCCATTGGATCAAATATCAGGGAACGCAAATGGCGTAAAAGTATTTCGGCTTATCTCCATGGGCCATGGCCATCCATGCAGGCTCGGGCCGAATAGACAATATATAGTACTTAATATATGACGCATAATCTAAACATAAATTTGTGCATAAAAAACGTGATGTTATATCTAAACTAAAAAGCACTTCGCTCTCACCTCAGGTGGAATCAAATATTTATCTCCTTGTTGTAGAGAGTAGAATCAAATATCGCATACAAAACGTTCTTTGGGTAGAGAGTGCTGTTCAACTATATCCAACTGCGTTTAACTTGAAATGAAGCCTCGGCAAGCACAAGCCCTGTTCTTATAGCTTAACTACGTCATTGCTCGGAAATACAGCCAGTTTGACGTAGATAAACTCCAAACAATAAAAGTCAAAGAGGAAACCTATACACGACCACAAGTCTAGCTGAAAATTTCATGGAAAACTGCTCATAAATTTACGAAAAAAAACCCCACAAGACCTTCAAGGATTGAATATTTTTGTAGTCAACATTCCCCGTAGCTATTATCAACAATTTTAACACATTTTTAACGCCATCTGTGTGCGTGCGTGTTTAAAAACTTTAACTTTACACGCAATGATATATAAACGACATGACGTCAAGCCTACTGGTTTTGACGTCAGCAAACGCAAGGAGAAGCAGAACTGAAAATTAATTATACCCTTTTTGCTTTAAACCTGTAATGTGACACTTGAAATATTCACTTTTTCAAAAGGAAACAGTGAAATTGGCAAGAATTAGTATCATTCTTTGTGTGGTGGTTTGTTTTATGTTTAGAAAAGTTAATAGTTTCCTGAACTTCTATCGCGTGACAATTATTGGGTTCAGCAAGTTTGTTTTCATTTTTCTGTCTAATTGAGGCAAACGCATTGTTGTCCAAACATTGTGAAACTTTACCTCATCACGTCCCGTTGTATAATTGTTTTATACTCAAACTTATGTACAAATCATTGAAGTCACGGATTCTTTTAACGAAATGGCCTAAGTACGCGTTACATGATAATTAATTTAAAACCAGTATTGTAGTGTCCGTTCAAGGTCATACGTTTTTACATAATGTCCTAATTTATAACTTGAATTACATTAAGTTAGTAATTTCATCATGGCGATGACCAGTTAAGCAAAATAGTCTTCACATATTCATAAGCTGGCTACATATCAACACATGATAAACTTGCTTCAAGTCTCTTTGACTTGCTTGAAGTCTCTCTGATAAAGTCTAAACATATAGTAAATTAGTAATTGTGCTTGCTAATTTCATTTCTCACTAATAAACATTATCTCTTAAGTTTGGTAAAAAATTGTTCAATTTCAAAATCTGTTTAATTTGCTTTAGTCATTTTTGTTTAGTTTTATTTTATTTTATTCAGAAATAATTTATTCACATTTATATTATGCTCAGATTTTTTTGTTCCATTTTGAACAGAAAATTGTTTAGGAATTGTATTGTCTAGTAAATGTATACAAGTCCTTTTTTCACCAGGGATGTATCCAGCCGGATCTGGTAGGTGGGGGGTGTTGGGGGCTCAGCAACCCGGTGTGTGACCGTTGATCAAGTTCGCATAATCATTTCAGGGGGTATTTCAGGGTTTTTGCCAGGATGTCAGATAATGGCTCAAATTGGAAGCATTGGATTTGATAATGAAATACCTACCCAACACCACCACGAAAAACACGGTTACATTTATGTTTTACTTTTGGATTTATTATTAGTTTAAGTAGAATTTGTTTTTGTTAATCTGTATTTCTCTTTGTTTGCAAAAAGACCCACCATTGTTTTTGTCCATATTGCTAACACTGAATATATAGCTTGTGTTTTTGTCACGTTATGACAAGTGCAGTCTTTGTCTGTATCTCTCTTTGTTTGCAAAAAGACCCACCATTGTTTTTGTCCATATTGCTAACACTGAATATATAGCTTGTGTTTTTGTCACGTTATGACAAGTGTTCTTTGTCGTTTGCGCGTATGTACGTAATAGGACGCAAAGGCTCATGGGAATGCTCTAAAGAGTCGAGCAAAGGCTCTTTGCAAAAGGCTCTTTGCAAAAGGCTCTTCGGTACCGCCTTTGATGTCAAGAGCTTAAGTAGATTAAAACACCAATTTTGTTTTAATCCACTTCAGGTAGTTTGGATCAAAACCTAAACAGTTTATTGAAGAATATTACCTAAACTGGACCCCCACATTTGAGATATTGAACTAGAAAGGGCACGTACGTTGGCTTCGTTCAATTTCTTTGTATTTTTATTCAATTTCGTAATTTTGTATGACAAGTTTTTGGTTTTCTGAATTACAACAATAGATCACTGACCATCCAAGTGCCAAATTTTCTTCGTTGAACAATACAGACGAACAAAATGTGTACTTTCACAATTTTTACTATGAGAAGTGCACTTGTAGCATACTAGCTTTTGAATATGTGTACTTGTCCACTATACCATAGCAAGCAATTTTGTATTTGGAGCAGATTAATCAGGGGCGATTATTAGGTCATTATTTCCCTCTGGTACTCGTAGCTGTAAGTTATTTCATATTCCATATTGTCGTACCAATACCAGACGGTTCTCTGTGTGTTACCAAGGACCTAGCTTTTTTAATTCACTGAGCTCAGATCTGCGACTGTTGCTTCAGTTTCTAGTTTTAAATTTCAACTTAAACAACATCTTTTTTCAAAATATTAGTCTCACAATTATTATATATTATATAGCTTTTTTTTTTATTATTATGTAACTAAACTATTAATTAGCCTGTTAAATATTCCAAATCCCTCATAATTTTTCTACAAATATATATACCTAACTATGAGGTGCCCAACGTTTTATAAACTCTGCCCCCCGCCCCCCCACCGTGTCTACTGCCCTGTTGTCATAGAAAACTTGCTCGCCTGTAACCGGCTTTAGGCTCTCTAATATCATGCGGTGAGGAACAATGCATGTATGCCAAATTCGGCGGATATAATCATGTTGCGCACATCGGAAGGATTACAGTGTGATACAAATATGCTGAGTCAAGTTAAATTTGGTCAGCGATGTCTCAGTGACGACTGCCAACAGCCAACTGTCATATTCAGAGAATCTAGAACGGTTTGTGCGAGTGTAGGTGTCCATGCCAAAAATAAGAAAGTTTCCGATTGATATACAGTATAAGGATGCAATTATAGATATTAGTTAGTTTATTAACTTCCCGACAAAGAGCCTTCGCTCGAAACGTCGAAGTTCTCCTTGTATTTTTCAGGTAGTTGTATCCCTATCAAATGTCGGATTACTTTCAACCCGCGTCCG